AATGCACCTCATATAGTACCATTCAAGATGATGTACTATACATTATCATCAGCTAATTAAGAGACCGTAAGTCAGAGAGATCATATGTTAACCAATAAAGGTATAACTCCCAAGCCATGTCTATCATAATGATATAAACTATTAGTCGGTGTTTGTATAAATACAACAACGATGCTTTCAGTTTGCTGGAGATTCCCCCGACTGCTAACACTGATAATTTTCTCGAATAGCTGTCGTCGTACCTCTATTATTATTATTATTCAAGAAAATCTTATGAGTACATAAGTTTTGTGAAGAAACCGATTCGAGTTTCTTCAGAAATGCAATAATACACAAGTTTCAGTAATATTGTCATATTTTCCGTATTTGAAAAAGCGAAAAAAATGATAGTGATAATGATAACAAATCGGGTTCTGTGTAACTGACCTTTAATCAAACTTATATAGCTCTATATCACTTATTAAAGAACACAGTGATAAAAAAAAATCGTTTCTTAAACCATCAGAAGATAAGTGTGGGAAAACAATACTGTTTGTAGAAATAATTATCAGTCAGATTAGCTCGCAGCTTCATAGATTAAACGAATCATATTACGTGATTGTCAAATCGTAATAAGGTTTTATGGGGATTTCGAAAAAAGTATTGTAATTAGCTACTCATAATTTTGATTTAGGATCAGCGGTGAAAAAATAAGTAATGATGTTTCATATGCCAAAGACTTTTGATGCTTTAGCCTAGATTCATGTTTATTGGTTCGGAAATGTCAAAAATTAAAAATAAGTTGACTGAATATCACCGATGAATTTAGGTAACCTGAATACATTAGGAACCATGTTGCGAAAAAATTCATTAAATTAGTGCACAACCTTTTTAAGCATGTAGAAATGGCAGTAAGAACCACTCATAAGTGTTGAACTATTAATTGATCGAAAACGCTCCGTTTAAAGATCACTTTTCATAGCAGCATGCCATAAAAAACCATCAAATGTATCTTATAACAAAAACGAGTTTGTGGGTGGTTTTAACAATGTATATGACTAGTCAAGATAAGTATAAGATTCTGCATGTTATAAAGTATTGTAATCACAATAGATCATTTAGTGGACCAGCGAAACTCATTTGCATTTTTTTCGGAATTCGTCGTTATTGCGAGGGTCGATTGTTTGGGTTTATAGTACATGTTCACAAAGGTTTTGTCTAACTATCTCCTATTAGCGGAAAAATGTAGAAAAACGACTAGCTTCACAGACGAGGTATGCTCACATTAGTCAAGTACGTCGAATATTACTCGCTTTTTTGTGACTTGACCCTGCTGATATGTTTCCGATTTATATTACTCGGCGGATTTTATAAGAATAAATAGCTAATCTACTGAGCATAAACAAAGGAATATAAAGCTCACATCCCGGAAGTAAAGATGTGAAGAGGGGTTAGCATCGAACAACCTAAGGCTAATGTTGTTTTAGTAACGTGTCTCAGAAAAAACCAAATCGGTGGAACGGTTAGAGGGAAAAGGCTTCATTTTTTGTTCTTATTATTTCATTAAGAACACAAAATTTAATGAACTGAAATTTAGTGGATATGTGGTTACATTTTAAGCAGAAGCAAAAACTCTGAATAATCGGTTGTGTCAATCGAAAGTTTTCAGTCACTTGTGCAAACGTTTCGCTAGATAAGCCGGTTTTAGCATATCACTACTTACTGAGTTGTTGCTTCCTAGCTTTCGTATAAGGAAGTGTTTCGGTTTACTTGAGGTAGCTTTGTATGGACATTCAAACGGAGGAATAAACGGTGCTATCAATTTGTCACACCTTATCAAGACGTGTATGTAGTTGCTTAGGTCCTTGGGTATGTATTTCGCTCGTGATTGTTCACAAGTATAAATTGGTTTAAGCTTGAGCATTTAGTCTCGTAGTTGGTTCACGTAACTTTGTAAAATAAGCTCATCACCATCAGTACGATGGTTGATAAACTCACTTGATAGTCCTATAATCGTCATGAGGGTTTTTTCTGTTTCTGAACACTGAAAGTCAGTTTTGAAATCTCTCCGTATCCTCAGCATAATTAATGACAAGAACTCTGTCCACTGATTGTGGTTTGAATGAGATATAAGGGCAACCTTTAGTTCATAGTGAAAACATTCTATCATCTCGTTAGGCCGAAGGTTATATGCAGTGCAACCTATTCTGTTGGAGCCTGGAAAATTAGATAGATTGTTGACTCGCTAAGGTCGAACTTGGGCTCCCGTATCGGTCGTTATTGTAACAATAATTTATTTCTGCAATGGCAGAAACACGCCAATTATACGAGCATGACCTACAAATTACAACATTTAATAGTTCACAGTGTGCATATAACCTATAAAGGTTAATATCAGTTCATTAGTTCAGATATACTCAGTGGTCTTCAGAATATTATCCATGGTGACATCGCGCCCACGTTACACACCAGATCCGATCTTCGCATTACTGTGTTAGGATTTTGGTCGTAGTAATAAAGTGCAATGACTTGTGATATTTACCAAGGTGAAGGAATGGAAGTCAAATTTGGATGAAGAATGGCTGTTTATTAGAACAGAAAGTGCATATAGAGAGTAAAGTGTTAAGAAAACTAATAACTATGTCTTTTATTGTGTTATTATTTTTCCATCCGAAGCCTGCCACACAGTCTTAATGTAAAAGTCCGAGTTAGTATTTTATAAGTTGTCTTAGTACAATAGCTAATCCAACATAAAACTGCAAACATGAGTCTGGATGGTGAGTATAGGAGAACAACCTCAATACCACAGATTGATTTACTTGTTCTCAGATATAATGAGCCTGATACAAACCGAATGTTCTGCCCCACAAACATGGGTGGGTTTACGTCATCGCCCTCATCATCAATGTTTGCTGGTCAGTAACTCCACCTTCCCTCCTTTTGTGATGTTGGGCTCATTTAAGTTTGTTTTTGGATATATACCATACCTCACACGATGCTCTGTGTTTCACATCCCATTGGAAAACACTATTTCTATAAGTACTATTTTACAAGCTTATCAGGCAGTTATAAATTATGGACTGTGAGTAAGTCATCGATGCAATGCTTTAATTGACGACGATATAAAGTATACGTTGCCAATCAGAGTACAGGCTTTAAGAAGGGTGAATTGCGGGGTAGGTAGAGAAGTATAGAGATATACGAGTTGTAGATAAGGTAATGAGTGGTGAAATAATATTAATGGCAAGTCAACATAATGTACAGGAGATTAAACAGCTGATAAAGAGTAGGCAAGAAGGAACTCACATTAACTTGGTGATGTTTTTATTTTGTTCGATCCTAACCGGTTGATGGGTAACAGGTTCCATAGATGCGAGACCACTGGTAGTAGGCAGTCAATTGTACGGTTTTTAATTTTAGGGTTGTAGTGAGCGTTATTATATATTAATCCTCGCATACGTTTAAGGACAAAAGGTTACAGCTTACTTTGGTCGTGTCACAGTAAATCCAAATACCGTCAATAGGTGGTGGTAACTTCTTATGTTTCAGACTAGAATTGTTTGTTGCAAGCAAGTCTCATAAATCTCGATCCTCATCCTTGTTGTCCCTTAACGTCTCGAAACTTTAGACTATTGTATCACGTTCATTTATTGCCGAAATAATGCACCTGCCACCTGATTATCCTGACCTTCGATATGTCGGACATCACTTGTAAAATGTGGTATAGTCAATGTATCCGACCTCTAGTTGAGAATATTTATCGGTTCTAGCTTTTAATAGTTGGTTAGCGGTTTTCAATCTGTGCAAACTATGAATTCCTTGCCTTCTAACTTGTGTTGGAAAAGCCTAATAATGAAAATGATTTCAAGAAGCTCCTATCCAAAAGTACAATTTCTAGTTTATCCTGGAGTAAGTCTTCTTGAGAAGAATGCAGCCGATCCCCAGTCGTTTTTAACGAGTTGGTGAGGGATACCGCCTACTCCTTTGTACGAAGTATCCACCATCAAAGCGAGTGGAGAATGGGAATTCGGATGCGTCAACGTAGATACTTGAGGTAGTTTATCTTTTAGCTATTTAGTTACCTCAACAACCTCAGAAGTCCCCCTAAATTCTTCTAGTTTTTTTCAAGTGAATCTGTCAAAAACTGCATCAGCTGTGCACAGTCGGGTATGAATCTTCGAGGAATGTTAATTAGTCCTAGAAAATCTCTATGTTGTGATAGAGAACTTGGTGTGGGATATTGTCTGGTGGTGTCCGTCTCTTTTTTTGATCGGTGTAATCCATTCTGAGTTTACTTTGTGTCCGAAAAATTCTAGAGTTTGAGCATTGAAAAAACACTTACTTTGATGTATGTTTATTCGATTTTCATTTAACCTTTTTAACACTTCTCTCAGATGCTGTTCGAGCGATTTTAAATCCAGACTGGCAAATGACAAATCGTTCATATACCACTGTGCAAATGGTATGTCTCGAAGTAGGTTGTTTGAAAATCTTCGAAGTGTTTGTGTCTCACTCCTCAGGCCGAATGTCATGCGTGCGAATTCTAACGGTTCAAAAGGTGTAGTAATATGTCTTAAGTATACCTCCATCGTCTACTGAGATGTTGTCATGTGCTCCTATCAAATCTTCTTTAATGAATATGTTCGCATTCTGCAAGTGGTTTGCAAGATCTTGGATCTCAGGTATTAGGTACTGATCTGGCGGTTGAGGGCTTTGTTATCCCTTCATGGTTTCCAATCACCCTTATTTTTCTTTGGGACCATATTTAAAGGGGTTGCTGGTCAAAATAATTCCATTGGCCTGAATAATACGTTCGATAAAATTCGAGATGTAGCGATTCATAAATGATAGCCGTATCAATTAAAACTAACACATCGAATGTCTCGACTACTAACTTTGGACGCAAAAAATGCCTAAAATCATACACGTCAAGAAGCACAAAGTGGGAGCATTTTGTTACATCAGATTACCATAAAGATTTTGGATGTTAAAACGAATATGGATATAAATATTTTGGTTTCTTTTGATAAAAACAGCAATAGTGGGCATTGCAGATGGGTGACATGACAACCAACATATCACTTACAAAATCAAGGTCATCAGGATCTGTAATGTGTTGTGTTCAGACAAAGTCGAGTCACTTCAAACAATGCAAAGGAGGTGAGAGTAACAATTCTATCCAACACCCTACTTTCTTTAAAACACCACACATTCAATATTGTGGTGATTGTAATTTAGAAGCAAACATATGTCGTACCTCAGGATTCGTATCTAATATAAGGCCATCAATTCGATACAACTGTAAACTTGATGAGAAAGACAACCCAGCCTTCAGGTATTCACTTAATGATCGATAATAATGATTTCAACAGAAACATACTGAGCGGTAATTATCTTTCTACAAACCATAAAGATTTTTTGCCGTATTCCATGCCATCTGGCAAAGAAACTTTACCTTACCTTACAAATCAACTATCAAACGAAACAAGCGTATCAAAAGTCTTTTCGGTAAACGCATATGTTTCTGTCGATAAGTGTACAGATAGGAAACAATCTTTTTGAACAGAAATTTAAAGATATCTTTGCTCCAATACTACCAAAGGGAAAACTTGTACTACCAACAAAAGCAGGTCCTTGTAACATCGAAGACGAAAACTTCCGTCATGTATGTCGTGAATTGACACAAATCATTTCAGGGCCTTTATACATATTCTATGACCGACGTAGTACATTACACTCGAATTGAACCAAGACCGTGTAAGTTAAACGCTGTATCTCCAATCCCACTTTCTCTGAACAGAAAGTTAAGTAAGCCTTTAAATTCATTAAGCGTCTAAATTGTACTTTGTATTCACGTTTACCGTTTGCATACATGTCTTATACTTTTAGTTGAGGAGGATATCAGAGAGCTATTTTTCTCATTTTCAGCCTCTTTTCATATTTTTTGTGTTCTTTTAAACAAATCAATCAGAAAGCAAATTTTGCTCCTTTTGTAGAGCGGTTGTAGCAACTGATTACTGTTGGGAAGTCACAGAGTCCGTGGAGATGTGATATGCACATGGCTTTAGGACTAACGTTCTGTGGTCTCTGAGTCGTTCTAGCCTAGTTGGGATAGGAAGAAAATGAATACTAGGTCATAATCTATTTATTCACACCTTACATACCATGATTAAATAGCCGCGTTGTATAATTTCTCAGTTGTTGAGGGCAAAAATAAATGTCTTTTTATCATTATAGTCGTTGTTACACATATTTGAGATATGGGTGGAATTATTTAGTAGTTTCGGTGAAAACTGAACAGATTCAAGCTTTTCGATGGTTATTTCAAATCAGTTACGATTAACTTTTCGCTTATGATGACAGAAATCAATATTTACACTTTATTAGCTGTAGTCAAGTGATCTCTTCATTTGATCTAAGTCTGTTTGTCTCTCTTAAGTTTTTTAACATCGGCCTTAGACATATTTTAGTTATTCTAGTCGTTCGTTTGAGCTTTCTTAAGTCAACTTTATTCTCCACTGATTAAAGTACACTTTTACTTTTTTTAGATGATGTAACCTATTTTTAACAAATGCAGCAGTGCAATCCTGAGTTGAATGAGATTCTAAAGTGAAAAAAATTAGAAACTCAGGATAACAATAGGTTTAATTTACGGAGGAAGCATAGTTTTAATGATTTTCAGGCCTTGTATTATTCGTCTGATATGCTTATAGGGTATCCTTTACAAGTCTATTGGTTCTTGTAAGAATGGGCTTCGGGTAGTGCTCTAAAATTTGAGGTTTTTGTCATTCGCATCTTTTAACAGTTAGCGCAACCTCTATACTACTTGATTATTAGCGCTTATACAAGGTATTCCATTCAAGGTCACAAGAAAGTTTAAGTTATGATGATTTACCTCAGGAAACATTTTACCGCCGTCACACTTCAAAACAGCCAATAATGATATTTATCTATCTGATCCTGCGTTTCTACTTTTAGTCATACTATTTTGGATCTATGTCTGCTTTCACATCACGACTTCCTGAATACAGTGGAGAAAATCATATCAATTACCTGTGAAAAATGCTGATTCACATTCTTCAACTTAAAAGCTTACATCATGCCCCCAAGTTTTTTTTTTGATAATTGACCATGAAGTAAATTTAAAATGAAGTAATGTATCGCTTTCTACGTTTTTATCTGAACTACAATTTCTACTCTTTCTTGTTCATTTTAAATAATTCTCTGATTTTGTTGTTAGACGGATTTCACAATGTTTTGTGTAGCAAGTATATTTCTTGGCTCCATACTGTATCAGTGCTTTGTGCGCCAAAATTCAGAGACAAAACAGATAATCAGTATTTTTTGTTAATTATAATAAACCCAATTGAACAGAGCAATAGCGGTTAAATTTTGACCAGATTGTTACTTTGGGTAAAAGAGTGTAGCCCAGTTGCGGATTACTAGAGTAGACTTGCTAGGATATTTTAAGTACCGGTTACGGTTAAAAAACCTACAAGATAATGACAATAAAAGGCTAAACTAATCGTTTTAACTCCATAATCTTACAGTAATGCTGCAACTTTAAACTTGAGTTATTAAATACAAAATATGTCCGATAACAAGTCATTAACCATCAATGCAAGTAAAACTTAATAAAAGGCTAACAGTTTATCGCTATTAAACTGGTTTCTTACTGCGATTATTTTGCAGCGTGGTATTTCTGAACACGAACGAAAACTAATCAAGTACGACTAGATTATTTGACTTGCAGCCATGCAATAATGCAATTTTTCAACCATCAAAAATCAGGAGAACTTTAAGTGCTGAACGATCGCTTTAATCAAACAAAATAATATCTGAAGAGTTAATTAGTTACAAAAGCTTTCGAACGAGAATTATAAAGGAGTGAATGCATTTACCATGCTCATATTGATCTTTTCACAGTCTTGTAAAACTACTTAAACCAACGTCTATAATATGTTAAACAATAGTGTTTAATCGCGGCAATGAAATTTATTAGAAAAAGGCTTAAGACATATTATAGGCTATATTTTGTTTTTACGACTCAGTCTAACCCTGTTATATAACAGACTGTTTAATTGGCGGAGGACAATCTCGACGACGTTGTGTTCTCTAGGTGTCGACTGCCTTAAAAAATAATACCTTTTTGAGTTGATGGGCCTTCTGCAATAAGTTTTACTAATGTATTGAGTATATAAACGTCTGAGGTTTTAAAGTAAGTGAAATCAATTATTCAGTTTAGAAATCATAAATATATAATTTACAGTCATTTTCCATGTTATCTTTCATTTAAATCTCATTGTGCTTATCATACACATGTGCTTGAATGCACTGTGGACGTTAGAATTGCACTCCCAGAGTTTTCCACATTTATAGATATTTTCCATTCTTATTTTTACCAAATAAATTGTTAGTATTTCACACAAAATTTCAGGTTATTTGTTTGGCATATTTATTTACCTTCATACAAGCAACTAGAAAGTAATTAAATCTATCATAAACCTGAAGTACTCATCGAAATTCTTCTATGTTGATTCAAAATGAAAGTTCATTTTTTTATCGACAGGTTGACTTTTTTGTTAGGAATTTGTATTTATTGAACAATACTTGAAATGTGTTGTGAGAAGTCAAAAATGACTAGTTATCTGACAGGGAATAAATGTAACTAAATAGGTAAACTGCATGTTCCTTCACTTGTATAATATTGCATTAAATAAACATACTTAAAGCTATTCTGTCTGCTACAATCATGAACAGACGTCAAACTTCACTTTCATTTCTGACAGTGTCAATCTTTTGTTTTTAACGTTAGAACTTTAACCTTTCGTATATTTCAGATGATATGTTCAAAGTTGCTGTCGGTCGTAAGGAAGAATCTGGATCTACTCGTAGTATAAGCAACTTTAATGCAATCAGCAACCGTTTCAGATACTCGTTTACAACTGTTCAACCAGGTTGGAAAACTGACAAATTAGCAAGCCAAACTGCTTATATGAGTGATTTTAGACCTTTTTGTCATAAAAATGGTTCTGAGCCTTTCTCAAATTGGGTAGGCGACTTATCGTACCAGAAGCCAACTGATTATGTTATTCAAAATAAAATTTGGCCTGAATACAAAAGTCATCATCCATATTATGTAAGCCATTGGTCTTTTAGAGATAACTTCTGTTAAATAATAAACCGGATAATCAGTAAACTAAGACACGGGTTGTTTTTAATCGTGTTAATGCCTACGATAGGGAGGCAAATAAAAACTTAGTATAAACCACAGAGGTGGTTCGAGAAAAATGATCAAAATCTACAATAAATCTGGAAAAGAAAAATCAGTAATGCATGCACAACAATGAACAAAAAAGGGACTATTAGATAAAGGAAACAAGTCCATTTTAACAATATCTTCGAATTAATTATCTGGCCAACTGTCGTTAATCCTTGGTAACATTACCAGTAGTTTTCAACCACTGATTTAAAAAGCATTAAGTAATACGATCAAAACACATTTATCTCTCTACACAAATTACACTGATGGCCTTTTACTTTATGGTTACATATATCTACATTATTCTATTTTACATACTTTAAATTTATTCATATTATATGAGTTTACTACTGTCGCATTTTCCTGCATATACAACGAACTATCTCGTAGTTTAAAGATTCTAAACGGTTACCAAATTTTAACTGAAAACCTCTTTACCTTTTTTAGTTTATTTTGTCTTTAGTATTCGCTGACTAAAAAGGTTAGGTATGGATAAATCGTAAAGATATTTTATGTTTAGCTTAAAAAATAGTATTCGAATTGAAGAAAATAAAATGAAACCGAATCGTTGATATCAAATCGCTATGACAGTTTGAAAACCTGATTAGTAAGGGTGTAAATTTTTCCATCTTTTATATCAAAGATTGCAATTTATTGGTCTCTATTACCATATGTGGATTCTTAGAAGATTTTTCCAGCACTTTCTTTTCTATTTAAAATGTTGATCTATTTAGATTGTAACTAGCAGTGCAGTCCAGAAGGTTTGTTTTATCCTACTTAATATCGATCAGCTGAACGGACCTGGATTGCTGTATTGATATTCATATTGGAACTTGAGCTCAGTACCTATCACTTCAAGCTCCGAGTCAATCCATAGGATCAGCATCATTGTTAACCCCACTTTGGTCTTGTAATTGAACGGTACTGGCTTTGATTCTCAGTGTAAACAATAGAATGGATAAAATTGTGTTCAGCTTAGTCATCCAATACGAAATTAATCGCACTACCTGGTTTCCACTGTCAACCACAATCCATTCAAACATGAAAGTCTGGAAAACTGTAGTACTTTGTATTTCAAGAAAAAACTCATAAAACACTTCCTCTATCTCTTGTCAGGAGGTTTGAAAGCTTTTGCTGCAATTGATGCATTTAGAGTTGTAAGGATAATAATATTTGTCAGCCAAGACATTATTCATCTCATTATATTACTGTCAAATACTTGATTCTGGAGGCTACTTAAGACATGATGGTATAACAATAATAGATGTTGATGAGATCAATATTAAATAACCTAGTTATTCATTCTTTCGCCATCAAACTATTTAGGTATTTAAGCACTCTGAGGATTTTCCAGAAGTTTATTTGGAAAAGTTAAAGAGGAAGGATTCAGCCAAATATCAAAGTGCTACTCATGAATCCAAAGAACCAAGGTAAAACGTATTTAGTGTTTTATTTATTATTTCTATTAATACATCTCAGTAAGCTAAAAACTACTGTTATTTGATAGCTCACCAGCTAGTTGGATGACAAACTGTGTTTGAAAAATTATTGTTCTGGAAACTACGACCACTTGCGACTAGACTTAAAAGCATATTTAGAAATGATATCAACAATGTTTTCATATCGTTATACTAATTGTCTACTTTTTAAAACTAACTTATTAAACTTAGTAGCTGCCTAAAAAATCAGTAAATTATTTGACCATTCTTCTTTATTCATATATGAAGCGCCTAAGCAACCACTTTACAAGGCAGGCTTGTGAAATAGTAGTATACTTACTCTGCCCTTAGTTTAAAAATAACGAGTATTGATCTAGTCTCTAGCTATCAAATAATGTGCGTTTCAAAATCTTGCACATGAATCTGGGCTTTGTTATCATGTTGAGTTGGCATGGTAAGTCCCGATATCTTTGTAGATAACAGTTAAAGATACATTGTCCTTCGGATGTCCTCTAAAATAAGTCAACTAACTTGGAGCTGTTGTCTCTTAACCTAGTTTTCAGTGATGCCTAATTCCTGAGATGTAACTCAGATCCCGCCATCACCATTATTAGGTTTAGCATTCTGTAAAGTTAAATGGAAATTTATTGTTTGATCTTTTGGTGTATGACGAAGAATTTTTTTTTGCAGTTGCATTCTTAACTAAGACATCGTTTTACCTAAGAAAAATTTATAAATACATCGTTTCAGAGTGCTACTAGGCGGCATATTATCAAGTTAATTTCCAGCGAGCAACATATTATAAGTTTATTAATTATTTTGTTATCCATTATGACGACCTGAACAAATTGTACCCTGTTTCCGCAGAGCGCTGAATATGTTGATATTTACTCTTGTTATTACTTTGGCATCGATATAAATAAATACTGAACTGTGTAACATGTATGTGCTTGTATCTACCTGTCACTTGTTAATAACCAATCTCATGATATTTGGACATTGGTAACCACAAAGTTAAGGTTATATGTCTTATTGTAAACCATTTCACTCTGTGTAAGCGACATGGTGGTGGCGTTTTCTATTATAACGCTAAGTAAACTAGATCCAAATATCTTCGAGATAGTAAAATTTTAATACACTTTATTGATGTAATTTACCGGTGCATGTTTACAGGTATGACGCCTAGTCCCATAGGTTCCCAATGACTGTTCAAAACATTGTGTTAAAATATGTTCTACATGATAATGAAAACTGAATACAATGTAGAAGAAAAATGATTCCAAGTTTCAGATTTGTAGACAGACGGGATTTTCAGAAATAGATCTAGCTTACGCAATTATCACTTTTTATGACCAACTAAACTATTCTTCTGATGATTTTGGTGATAGGAATGACGATAGTTTGGCTGTTTTTCATTCATAGGTACTTTGAAATTAATGAAGAAATTCCGTCACTTATAAGAACAAACCATATATTAGCACTGGTCTGTCACAATTTCCGAAAAATCGATGAAATCTCCTGGTGAATATTTACATTAAAAACAGTTTTTTTCACCTCACCAGATTAAATTGAAAGTAATCTACTGCAAAAAATTGTAAACTTTCACCCATACACTTTCAGTTTATTATCTTGAAGTGAACAACAGCAAATATTTGAGGAGGACACGATGAACTAATTTTATTTTGCTAGGGTGTCGTTAGCTATTTACAAACTATAAAATACTTTAAAATCAAAATTACCATATAATTAACTAAATTATACTAGCGAAATCAGCCAAAATTGAATAAACATCGTCGTAGTGGAGTAAAAATTGCAATTAAGTTGACGAGTTTGGAAAATGTTGCAAGTCAATATACTGTCCAAATGAAGATAATAGAGTACCAAAACAGCTACTAAAGTTCATAGAACTAAAAATTATTTAATTGCGTAATGAAACAACTGAACCCAGGTTAATGGCAATATAGAATAACATGACTTGAGATGTCATTGATTAGTAACATTATGGACGTAAAAAAACCCAAGAATAATGCAATCAAAGTGTGAGAAAAGGTTACAACGTGATGTAATAAAATAATCATATTGTTGCCACGATAAAGAAAGCTCCACGTCAGTTTTCTTTTGGACACATTTATCTATTCTTAGGTGCTTGATGGCTATGACTTCAACAAATTTCAGAGCACTGTCTGTTAATCAACTTGGAAGATTCAAATACATTAACCTGTTGTACTATGTCGAAGATTTGTAATGAAAAAAAAAGCTACTGAAATCCTTTAATAGGTTTGACCTGAAACTTTTAGGAATGCTTCCTGAAAGTCGAGAGTGTCCCTGTAGTATTTGCAGTCCTTCTGGTTATGTTTAGAAACAAGAACCACTTCAATCTCCACAACGCAAAATAAAAAAATAAAAAGACTGGAACAAGCGTAGACTCGTTAACTGGTCAAAAAACACTACCTTGTTTTTACTTTGAGGGGTAACTCTCGATCTTTAGCTTCGTTAAAAAAAAACATGTTTTGTGCGAGACCATCAGTTTGGCTGCATGATATGTGTTTAATTAAGTAAATTAAGCCCACAGTTTCAAGAAGTGTCATTAAAACGGGATTTGGTTAACATCTAAAAATACCTCAGTTACGTGCTAGCTTCGTAATAGTCAGTTGAATACATTTTGCAAAGAGTTTTTGAAATAAGTTAAAAAGCTATTTACAACCATTAGCATCCAGATGTATTACTTCTTAGTTGTAACTTACGTCTTATTATACAGTTACATCTTATATCACTGATTTTCGTTGGGGTACGGGAATTACCATCCAAAAGTATTCTAATGGACTGCCCGATAGTAATCAGTGATATCTTCCTCAAGGCAAATTGTCTAATCAAACTTTTCCAGTTGATGTTTGTAATGAGACAATCAAGCCATACAGTTGGTTTTGAGTTTTACACTTAACATTGTAAGTAATGTATTTCGTATTAAATTATGAACTAGTTTTCTATAATATGCATACATTATACTGTACAACCATTCGCCAAGCGTTTTAATGACGTCAGTCTTCATATTTGCTTAGATCCAAAAGCTCTATTGATTTCTGAATTAATAACGGCAGCAGAATGGATTGTGATATATATTCAGAAGAAGCTTGCATTTTCAAATGTATTTTAATGTTCTAAGCCACTATAAAAAATTATCAGATGCGTACTGTGTAATTTTATAATAATTATTTTAGTGAATTCCGGTATAATTCGTTTCTAAAAATTGCCTTTTAATGTACATGACTGGGTTGGTCAAAGTCTTTTAAGACATGCTAAGTGACATGGGTTTGAATTGTATTTTTGCTGAAGGAGGCAAGATATTCTGCTTATAACGGGTGAAATTCATTATAAAAACTGAATATTGTTAGGAAACAGTGTTTGAATAAATATGAATTAAAATGTTATGAAATTTCTGTTGATGGAAAGTGTTTTTCGTTTCCTCAATTCTACGTCACCATTTAGCTTTACCTTCTCTCTTCTGTAAACTTGTTTTCATGTGTAAGATTATGAAAAATATGCGGTTTTTTAAATATAATTTTAGTACAACAAAGGGCTCACAGAATGATTTAAAAAATCAACCGAAATCATCAGCTGAACTGTTAGGTAGAGTGACCATCGGTCGATTAGAACCGAGTGGTTCCTCTTTGAATATTTCTGGACATGTTCAAAGTCAAGATATGCCACTGGATCGTTTTATAACACACAACATGACTCGAGTAAGTGTTTCTTCGACTTATGCCAGCTAATTTGTGGCATTTTGTCTTTAAACTCCTTGAGTAATATATATATATATATATATATATATATATATATATATATATATATATATATATATATATAATTAGGGTACATAATGTTTGGAAGTAGCGAATCATTTATATTAAAAGTTATCAGGCTGCTGAAATCCGAAATAAAATGACCTCACTCTTCTACAATGGAACATGTTTTATATCGTTATATAGATTAGTGTTCTCCAGCCAACCACTTTTTTTAACTTGAAGGAGTGGGTCTCGAAAACAATAGCTTCAAAGTAAGTGAAATATTTCATATATTCTTGCGGAACCAATCTATGTTGATGGTTCGTATTCAAAGGATTAGCTATTTAGTCATAGATTCATCAACAGATCAATCGTCGAATATTTTAACAACATTGATCACTCAAATAAAATAGGCTATTCACCTAGACACACCTTCAAGCCCCGAAGTAACCAATACAAGATAGTGTTCCTTTATATTTTTTTACAGATAAGGAGTCTTAAAGTATGTGTTGGGTTTTTATTCCTACCATTGGGCTTAGATTTAGCCGAACAAATCATTCCCTCTTTCATACTGTTTAATCCTCATTTCAGTACCGCAAAAAACAACCATACGCTGGACTCATTCTTAATAATTCTCATAAAACACAAAATTAATTAAATCACTATTTCTTGAAATCTAATAAAAAATATCTTCTATAGAGCGTGATCCTCTGTTTATATCTCGAGGACTATCTGGTTAAAGTCATTCCAACGAGTCGCAATAGTCAAGTTTAAGTTATGAATATCAAGGTCACAGGACACAAATAAAGAACATTCTGACTGGGGTCTGATCCCCGCTGAGTTCAGTGATGATTTCTCAATAAATTATCTGCAGGCCACAACGTTTTATGAAATTTCTTTTACACTGCAACGAATGGTACAAAAGAATTGTGCTGAGTTGATAAGTAGTCCATTCATTTAAATTCAGTCGAATTTTAGTATCTACATTGGAAATTTTTACAAAGGCTAGTTTGAGAGCTTCAAATAACATGGTTTCTAACCCTCATCTATAACCATCAAGAACGATATTGAACCAGAGATAAAAATGTATTCAGACTACTGGAGAGTATAAGTGTTGCGCTGGTTTAGATATGATCACCATACGATTGTTTGCAACTCCTTTACCAGTGGTGCATATGAACAATGTTCAAATAATTAGATTGCGCGTAAAAAACTAACTTTAAAGCTACAAAGCTTCAACAGCGAACATGATTTTGAGTTATGTGAGTGAACTCCTATTATTTATTTATTTATTTTATTTATTTATTTAAACGCATAAACATAAGTACGAAAAGGCACCAGACAGATATGCACCGCATAAATCATTCGATTTGTGTGAGGGCTAGGATACTGCGCGGTTGCCCAAACTGAAACGGGGTGAACTCCTATAACGAACATATTTCAATTTCAAAACAAAAGAACCACAAAGTAACCCTGAAAAATCCTTTACCCCTACAAGAAAGATACATACATTTTAACGGTGTTTGTTCTCCAAAATACATTATTCTTTTTACACTCAATTTCTGATTGGCTGAAAAGGCAGAGAAGCTTAAAGTATTTTTAAGAGTTCAAAGTTCCTTCTTACACTGTAATTTCATACACATCTAGCATATGAAATGCTCGATATTTTTCAGGAAAACCATCAAAAGAAGTATGCATTTATTATAAATAAAAATAAAATATTTGTAATATCCCAATGAGTAGAAAATTGGATTTTTCTGACGTTTCGTGACTTAGTGTAAGTCACTTCTTCGGAGAATAAATAACGAATTTATTAGTTTGGTGAACAGACATGTAGTAGCTAGGTTATGTGTATGCCTATGTATATACATGTCTATTCATATTAAAAAAATCAAATGACAGATTTTGCACAATTCAGTTGCAATTTTTATACAGTATGTAGATTTCAGTAATTTCTTTTCATTTAAATTTTGCAAGTTCTACTACCCACCACCTGGCCAAGGTGATGGAGACCGAGGACATATTCCCTTTAATACACAACCTCCCAAAGAAACAGCGACTTCAAGATCAGTTAGACTACATTATCTTGGACCACAAACGCCATCAACTGATAAATTGGGTACCGATGATCCTTACCAATCAAAGTAAGTCTTTTTAATTTTATTCAAAAAATTCCCTGTAAATATACTAAACTTCATGAATTACAATTGTAAACATTGTTCACTCGAAATAATCCAAACTGTGTATTGCCACAAACCATACTTTCTAATATACTTTATATTTTCAAACGTTTACACAGCTAATTCTAATCCTTTCACTTAAAACGTTTTAAAAGTTTAGAAGTGAATTTTTTTAACGTCATATTCCTTATGTCACACGAGTATCACAAATCAGCTGAGTTATGGTTGAAATAGTATAAATGAAAAATCATGTGCATTTGTTTATCTTATCACTATATAAACACGATTGAACTATCAAGAGCTTAGCTCAAAAACCTGGAACTCATTTGACGATACACGAATGTACGAAAAAAACTACTAACCATATTTCTAAATGTCTGTTTAAAACAATTAGCCCCTTTGATAAATTTTGATAACGCAATGAGAAGATGAAGTTTATCAGAATTATGTGATATATTTGCGCAATACATTTCGAACAATCTGATCACACATATACTGGTTAAGAGCATTAATATATGAAAATTAAAAGGTCACCTAGACAGGTTAAGGGTAAGTCATAACAAAGGATAGGCTAAATGTAAGGACAAATTGTTTTTGAACACATCAAGGGGGTTTCAATTTTCGTGTAACTAAGGCTTCAATAAACCTTAGTATACGTCCTTGAAGGCTTTTGTATAGCACTACAAATGCTGATTTGATGTCAACCTTTTAATTTTCATATATAAATGTTCGTAGCAAGTATATGTGTAATCAGATTGTTCGAAATGTATTGCGCAAATATATCACATAATTCTGATAAACTTCGTCTTCTCATTGCATTATCGAAATGTCTGTTTATTGGCAGTCACTAAGGTAATTAATAATCAGTTCAAGTTCTTTTTAAAAAATTAACCATCAATTTAGGTCAAAAGGTACAACCCAGACCTAGTGAAATGCGTTTAAAATATATTTCAATTTGACTGGATAAAGCTGAAGCTACTGTAGAAACATGACTTCAATGATAGATGTGATTTCGAGTATCATATCAAAAATTGACACCTACCAGTTGAACAATAGAAATATTCGTTAGTAATTAAACTATTTTAGATAACGTTTGTTGGGAGACTGAGTCTTATAGACGGGGTTGATAAGTAAAGCTGAGGAATGCCGTCAGTTACTACTGAGGCTAAATTAGTAATTACCAGGTAATCTAATCGACTGAGTTGGAGAACCAAACTTTTGACTGGTTTACAACATTGCCCCTTGTTTGGTTGCATGTGGATGTTAAGCAACTTATGTTTTATGTTAATGTTAATCTGTTCTATCACAACACTTTTTTTGTTTTCAGAAGTATTTTGGCAAGAGATACACTTCTCAGGCGGATAACGAAGAATATTATGTGACTTTCTATCTACCATTACTTTTTAGCCAAAATATTAGTTGAATTTTAAAAAATGAGCTGTTTTACTGTTCTAAAACGTTTTCTGGTATATTCATGTCACTGACGGTAAACAGGTAGTATACTAACAATTAATACTCTCAATTTTCAAAATGCTTGGTAATATAATAGTTTCTGAACGAAATGAAAACCGAAGGAGGTTTCTTCTGAATTTTCTAATTAAAATCAAGAAAGGAAAACACTAATATAATTCTATACATATTTGGAGTTCTATGTGTGACATAAATATAATTCTTATCATTTAACTAGTTCAGGACGTTTATGAAATCCTTTGCCGCAAGTGTGCCATGGATGTTATTTAAACCATATTCTTTCTATCAAGAAAAACTGTAGTTCAGTGAGGAAGTAAATACATAAAAGTAGGATGACCACAACTGAATAGTAAATAACTAATGTTCCGGAAAGAATTACAGAAGGTGTCCCAATTTATATGCATGGTCAGGTTGATAAGTAAAAGAATATAAAGTATAAATGACAGACATATAAGGGTAAATTGTTTGAAAGGGCGTAGTTGATAAATTGTTTTGATAGGACATTTATTACTGGTATTATAACAATGTAAAGCGGTCATTCGAAACCAATAATTTTCTCAGGAGAAAGACTGGGACTTCATGTTATATATATATATATATATATATATATATATATATATATATATATATATATATATATATATATATATATATATATAGTTATCCCAGTCTCGTTACAGGGTATTCGTAACTATCTACAACTGGTGAGAAGAAAAGAAAAACAAAGAGGAAGGAGAACGTTCGCTTAAACTATTGTGATAGGTTTATCACTATAAATTTTCTAGATGGTTTTTTAATCTAATGATTTGAATAAAATTTATTTGAACTAGTCAACTTAGACAGGGATAGCGTAAGGCCAAAATATCAACAAGGAAAAAAGCTCAATAAGTATACTCAGTAATGACAATGATCAAAAGTTTACTGTTTCCATAATCTCACTAACGAAGTAAGATATAGTCAGTGGTGTAAGCATTTTCAGGGGCATTTCAGTGAAGCGGTAATCATTGATATAGTATGCAAACTAAGATAGTAATTTTTTCACAGATTGTTGGAAATTATTCCAGGTTCTCGAAATTTACTCAAAGTAATTCATACAGAGATATGGAGTGAAGCAATTTTACTTTTGATGGAAGTTGCGAATGTTATAACTACTT